TCATGAATGCAGGGGTAAATGTCCTCACAGCCCAGTGTTGCTGGAATCTGACCAGCTCTATTCATTCAGCCTCTTTCCACATTTAAAGTGAAGTTGCATAAACTGAAACATTTCTATTTTTATCACAACCAAACTGTGCTCATCCTTCAGGGTGAAACCATTTGAAACCATTCGGGGTGAACAGATTCCCACAGTTCTTCTTCTTTAGATCAAACCTAACTTATATTTTTTTGCCGGAGTGCACAGAAACATTTTCAGACTTGCACTCCTGCTCAGTGAAGATCACATCAGCAGATATTTTGAAGAAAACAGAATGTCTCCCTGAGGGATTTCGAGCATTTCAGATCCTTTAAAATGGGTAGGTGTTGAAGAGTTGCACTAAGGAATAGGTTTTGAATGTGGGGGAGCAAAGTTGCTTTGGTTAAAGCTGCAGTGCATTCCTCCTTTGCACAGTAGGGATCTGCTGGTGATATTTTACTTTGAAAACATATCTATATGGATCTTACAGTAGAGTGCATCATTAACATTTGGACTGCACTTCACTGAAGATCCTAATCTTAGTGGGTACAAGCTGAGTTTAATTTTAACACAATTCAGTGATTACCCGGTTGATTGATATGCTTCCTTTTAATCTAATCCCTTCACATTCATCCTGAAAAAAATGCATTGGATTTATAAGAATATCATTTCACCATCAGAGGGAGTTACTGTTTGAGCACTGGCACAGTCGAATAAAAAATGAGTTCTCTGACCTCATGGTTATGAAGTGCAAATATGACCTAGATTGTTTTACAGTACGCAGCTTTCCTCTGTAATCTCAAGAAATGAATAATATGGGGTGGCATAGATTGTGAATTAACACAGAGGTCAGATAAGCAGAGTTTAGTTTGAATATAAATTTACATTTTGATTGCCCAGTTACTCCTTATTGTTTCCAATACTTAGTCAAATGTGGCTCTTTTTTTCTTCTCATATAGAAAAGTGTTTTGAAAATATCTTATAAGACTTCATATGCTTATGTCCCAACCTATGGATGAATATATTTGTTTTTATTTTTTAAATTTAATAAAAAATGATTCTTGTTAGTCTGACAAAAAAAATCATAAATGTCCAAACGGACTCATGTATAGTATATTCATAAGTCATTTGGATTCATACAAGGCATTTGAATTGGGAAAATAATATATATATATATAAATGTTCTTTTATAGCACTTTCCTACTCAAAACACTTTGTACAGCATCCCTCACTCACCCATTCATACAAGCAATTTCTTCTACACCTAACATTCATGCTTCAATGAACACATCATAGAGCAACTTGGGGTTCAGTCTCTTGCCCCAGGATACTTTGGCAGACAGGGATCGAACCACTAATCTTCCAAGTTGTAGATGACCGGCTCTACCTCCTGAACTACTGCCACCCTAAGAGTTTGAATTAAATACAGTGGTGTTTTGTGTCTAGCTGTTGTTTGGCTTCTCTGCCCTAAACGTTCACCAAAAGGTGACCTGGAGGCGGCAGAGTTGAAGATTTCAAGACTTTCGTTGGGTTCCTTGATTATCGGGGACAGGATTAGAATTGAATACATTGGAGCGGCAAAGGCATGTGGACACATTGGACAAATGTTGAAGGTGGAAGTGCCACAGACAGGATTTGTGGATGTAGTGAAGGAGGACATGTAGAGGGTTGGTGTGATAGAGGAGGGTGTTACGGATAGGGTGACACCAAGGCATATGATCTGCTTTGGCGATACCTAAAGGGAGCAGCCAAAAGAAGAAGAACAGTTGCACACAATAGTGGCTACATAGTATAGTTAACACATTTGAGTAGTGTGTGAAAGATCCCTGTTTCAAGGAAGAGACACAAATTCCTGGGAATGTTGTGGCAGTCAGGACCAAATGAAATCCATGGATCCAACATCCAACAGCATACTTTGATGGTCAAACCCAATGATAAATAGGGATAGGAGATGAATCATAAGCTCCCCCTGTGATGGTAGTAGAGTTAAACTAACAGGTTGTACTCTACTATAATTGGGTGATTGGTAGAGATGCTCAATGTCAAACCAGTTTAAAAAAAATGAATCTCATCGTCATAATCATTACAGACTCTTCTGTGAGTAGTGTTGCTGTCCCCTGTGACCGAAACCTCTGATACAAGTTAAGATGGATGTTTTTTTTCTTCTTCTTTTTTCTGCTCATTCATATTGATGAGTATTGAAAAACAACAGAACAACTGTATTATTAATGATTATTATTTATGTATACTTTATTATACCAAAGATCATTAGAAGAGTGACTCAAAAAGTTTGAGAGAATGTGAATTAACTAATTAGTGGCTATTAACATGTTAGTTGACTCCCAAAAAACAGAATCATTTTGGCCTTGGTTGCATCTCCCTGTACATGATGTTGTTACTGATTGGCTTAAGAAGGACAAGGAGAAAGATAACTGGTGAAGTGTGATGACTTTAAACTCACGGGGGTTTGATTGCATGGTAAAATATAAGTGACAAAAAAAGTAGCTTAAAATCACCCGCGGAGGAATAAAAGCAAAAAATGAGAATGCCTTTTACTTGCATTATATTATCTTTATAAATGTATATTATTATGAAGAATCTGTTGCCAAGGAATAAAGATTGTTGGCACTGCAAATGACCTTTGTGGTGTTGCATTGTCATCCAGGTTTGATCACATTTAAAGAAGCTTTACTTGCAGGTAGACAGTATCTATTAAGGAGCAAAGGAGAGAACACATTTGCCAAAGTGCAATCTTGGAAGCATCAGCTATCATCCGACAACCATTTAGGTTTTTAATTCACTTTTTAGAATCTGTCTGCATTCACGATTAATGACCGCCGCACAGAACAGGAAGTCTTGGCCCCGGATATCCATCAGAAGGCCCTAAATTTTGGCTGTTGTGATCTGATTATGGCCAGTGTGTCCCCATATTGATCACGTTGATGTTATCTGCAATGAATAATAGATGTTCGCCTTAACAAATCAACAAGCTGGCACTACCATATTTTAAATGGGTCACGAGCTGAGGAAAGTTCAGAAACACTTCATCCACACGCTTTTGTCAGTTCTGTTTCTGGGACAGGACGTTTTTAAATAGTTACCTACCTTCTTGCTGACGAAGCAGTCTCCATAATTCCTGTCACTTTCAATAATCTCACTATTCAGTCAACGGAAGAGAGGTATAGGAGCAGGAAAGGGCTGTTTGTGTGGAAAATATATGTATGTAATGACCTCGTAGGTTTCTTTTCATGGAGGGCTTGGCTTATGTGTTTTGTTCGACTGCATTTCCTGTGGTAATAGAATTGCTTATTGCAGTGGTAACTCAATTACTCTCGAGAGCCCTTATCATTTTTTACGCAGCGGCGGCGGCGGGCATAAGACTCCTTGGTACCGGGATCATCATCAACTTACAGTAGCTGGTGAATTTAAGATCAAAGGAGGTGTGCTCCACGGAGCAGCAGGCTGGAGGAGGAGTAATTGAATTGTTTGTTCTTTGTTTCTTTTCTTTTTTTCTTTTCTTTTGGCTTACTGACTGCGCTGCAGTAATGGAGAGCACCTCCTTTATGGTGAAGGAGAGGGTTCATTTTGCTTATTTCTTTTCACTTCCTCTGTAAAATAGTTACTTGCTTCCAAGTTCGCCTCCACCAGTGTTTTCTTCGACCCGTTCTCCCTCGGCAGCGTGACAGTCTCTCTATATCCCGCTCACTTACTCTGTCACTTTTGCTTTTTCAGCACTTAAATTTGTATTTGTTGTCCTATCCAACAGTAACTTTCAGTGTCTATCTTTTTTTCCCTCCTATCTGTCTCTCTTTTCTTTCCTGCAGACAGAACAATTTGTTCACACACTTAAGGATGAATTGGTCAAGAGTGCACTCCTAGCGCTGCATGCAGCGCAGCCAGGCTACGTTTCCAAGAACCAGAAGTCGACTCGGGCGCAGAGCCAACACCAAGGCCACACAAACCAGACAATGACCAGAATCAGAACCCGATTCAGGGACTTCCAGGCCACAGTCCACCGACGTCGGTCACTGAGACCACAGTGGTGTGTAATAATGTGGAAGGAACCCAAACAACTGCTGGAGGAGAGCCTTTGTCACTGAAGCACCAAGACACCATACCCCACCATAAAGAGTACGATGAGGAGGAATGGGTATGCCCGACTCCTTTTCTAAGTCATTTAGAAACATTTAAAAATTGTGATTGAGTTATCATTTTATTTTAAACCGGTGTGTTTTGACAAACTGATGTTTTCCCTGGTGCTTCTTACAGTAGAGCGCACACAGGGGGAAGCCGAAAACTATTACTGTATTAGAGATCTGCTATGGCAAATAATTACTCACAAAATTAGATTGCATACCAAACATTAGTCTTTTAAGTGGATTCTTTTCTCAAAGGGGGTTTAAATATTTCATCATGACAAACTGACTGCGGAAGATAATTACGCGGTATCCTTGTCAGTGAATTTAAGCCATCTTGCTTCTTTTCATGGACGTGTCTATGGCTGTTAGTATTCTTTGTGTGTGAGGACAGCATCTGCCATCCAGCAGGAGTTCATCGTGATTTCTCCACACCAATGCCTAATTATCTCCCGCCATTATAACGTGTTCAACCCATATTTTTAAGAAGAAAATATCCAAAATATGTATTCCCCCACCCCCCTTCAGCACACACATCCACAGAGAAAAAGTCTCAATACATCAGTTACCTGCAGGAGCTCAGGAGAAGAAAGAGAAAGCTTGAAACAATGGAAACGCTTTAAAAGTAATCTCAGAATATCCTTTCAGACATTTCCTTTTGACCTTTTGGCTTTTCGGAGTTTGGACTGTGCAAAAAAAATAACTGCCTCACAGTCTCAAAGGTAGACAGTGTGAGTAAGACACAGATGTAATCAGCGCAACTGATCTGACTGCTGATTGTGCATTTGGCTCTTTCAGGACAGGCTGTGGGCAAATGTGGCCAAGTGTCTCAACTGTGTAATCGCCATGGTGGATAAACTCCAGGAAGAAGACAACACCAAGCAGGATCCAGTCCCAGAACATCAGCTAGCTGATGTCATCACCTCCCACAATCCTGGTAAATTACATTTTCAGTTTGTTTAGCCCATCGTTTACAGTCTTAGACAGGCCAAATAATTGCTGTGTCAGTCAAAAGTAAAACTTTATTTGGCTGATGATACAGTGATGTTTTGCTCGTTAGGATTCAGATCTGGCTGCGGTCGTGATTACAAACCAGCAATACTATACTACAGTTTGATCACAGTTCCTTCATCTATGTTGTAGGTTACCACCTCTGTTTGTCTGTGCGTATATATATATGTGGATGTACCGTCACTGTCTATTTCATTAGGTACAGCTTGCAGTAGCAGCTTCCTTAAATCTTTGTAAAATAGAGCCAACAAGGTGCTGGAAACATTCCTCAGAGATTTAGGTCCATACTGACAGATGCTGCACAACATGATGCACATCTCCAGTTCCACCACATCCCAGATGTGCTCTGTTGGATTGAGATCTCGTGACTGTGGAGGTCATCTGAGTACAGTGACCTCACTGTCTTATTCAGCAAACCGGTTTGACGTGATTTGAGCTTTGTGACATTATTGTGCTGGAAGCATCCATCAGAAGATGGGTACACTGTGGGATGGATGTATATTCAGGTATGCTATGGTGCTCAAATGATTCTCACTTGGCCCTAAGGGGCCCAAAGTGTACAAAGTAAACGTCCCTCACACTATTACACCACCACAAGCTTGAAACCATTGATACAGGGCAAGATAGATCAATGCTTGAGATTCGTCAGACCAGGCAACGTGTTTCCAGTCTTCTGTTTTCCAGTTTTGGTGAGCCAGTCTGAATAGTAGCCTCGGCCTGCGTAGCTGACAGTAGTGGCACACAGTGTGGTCTTCTGCAGCTGTATACCCTGGTTCAGAGTTTTGTGCCTTCTGAAATGCATACCTACACACAGTGGTTGTTATGAATGCTTATTTGAGGTACCGTTGCCTTCCCATCAGCCTGAAGCAGTCTGTCCACTCTCCTCTGAACTCTGACATCAATGAGGGCATTTTCGCCCAGATATTTTCTCTTTTGATCAATTGTGTACATACCCTAGAGATGGCTGTGTGGGAAAATGCCAGTAGTTTCTGGAAAATTCATATGAGCCCAACAGGCACCAGAATCATGCCACTTTCAAAATCACTTAAATCAGCTTTCCTCCTCATTCTGATGCTCAGTTTGAGCTTCAGCAGGTCATCTTGATCATCTACATTCCTGCATACATGGAGTTCCTGCTATATGCCATGTGAATGTTTAAAGGTGACATTTCTACCTTAACACTTCAGCTAATTTAGCTTTCTTTTGTTATTATTTTGTTCATAAGTTTTCTTTAGCAGAAACATCCCATTTTTTTAAGTCTGTACATTTTTGTTTTTCTCTTCAGTTAAACAGGTAATCCAATGCCTCATCGGTGAATTTCCTCATGCAAATTATAATGCAGAATATGCATTAACCGATCCATCACTGTCACAGGCAACATGTGGTGATACCACTGTATTGTAATGTGCCCGTCACTATGCTCCCGTCACTAAACAGCAGTCCTTTTAATGCTAAGAAGTGCTCCTGAGCCCAAAAAAACATTTTTAAGCGTTCGTACATAGATTTTACTGTGGGAAGAAATAACATTGAGTAGTTCATCATATTTTTCAGAGTATCTTAAGCTGGAAATCGAAAAGAGTTCCAGCGTTGCAGACTCCCCTGTTGTTCAAGCACTGGCAAATGAGAACTCATATTGTTGCCAGAGAAGTGGATGAAAGCTACATTCGTATGCAGAGCCATTCACTGTGACCACAAGCTGCCCAGTCTTCCCTTACGTCCAATGAAATCCTGCCTCAAGCTTGTTCAGACAAGTGCCCAGACTGCTGCAGCTGCCAATTGGCACACAGGGCCCACAGAGCAGTGGCATTAGACTGACCAGACGACAAGGAGAGGCTGTGTGTGTGTGTGTGTGTCAGTCACACACACATGCTGTGGAAGGCATTGGTGCATTTGTATCATTTTGTGCCATTGTGTCTTTGTGAGCCAGCAGGTGAAAACAAGGCCATCAGCCCCTGTGTTCATTCTGAAGATAAAGCTCAATCCTCAGAGCACCTTTATTAGACAGGCTCAGAGAAAGTGGTCATCTGGGCTTGTCAAAATACAAACATGGAGGAATAATGAGAGAAGCTTTATCTCTTTTGTGAATCCTGGGCTTTTGATGGCACTGCAGGGGTTTGCATGTTTGGACAGGTGGCCCATGAAGAGATGACAGCTGGAGTTCTGTTTCCTGCTCTGTGCAGAGGCAGTATTTGCCAGAATGAGATAAGACGTGATTTCTGATGACAGGGCAAGGGCAAGCTTGATATGCTGTACATATCAAACTGTGTGCATGTCTGTTTGTCCGCAATGATTCACTCTTCCCTCCTGAGAACTTTTCAATATGTTGAAGCTCAGAAGAATATGTGTATGGTTGGAAAACTCATCTTGAGCAACTGCTTAACCAACACTGCCCCTGGTGGCCACTCAGAGGCTCGACTTTATCAGAAACCAGTGAAGGATGCAGAGAAAGCATCATCACAGCTGCAATGCAAGTTTCCTGCACACATTTTGAGTTTGCTGCATGTCCAAAATAAACAACCACAAAGAGGTCACAAGGATTACATAATTTATTTGATGTTTGCTGATAGTAATACGGTACAATGAGAGCTTAAATATTATAACAGTGTGACAGAAATTATATAGTCTATACCAATGATTCATGACCAGAAGTAGTTGTACCCTCCTAGTTGTGATTTGATTTTCAAACACAACAATATGTTTTATATGGCCTCCAGTCTGATGTGTACTGCACAGGATAATTTATTTAACTTAAGTAATAAAAGAAGAAGTGTATAAAAACACTTATTGCACAATGTTGTTATCAAAGGTCAACAAGTCTGGTGTAGACAGGAAAATTGTGGCGATATCTCACAATACTTCACATTTACAGTAATGGTTAAAAGAAAGTACACCCTCTTTAAATTCTAAGTTTTTTTTGCAACAGGACATGATAAAAAAAAAAAATTATATCGGGTCGAGCCTTTAAAATTGAGCTGAATCGGACATTGCTGTAATAGCAGCACGTGGTCTGGAGCATTCAGGTGTGGCAACACAATCCTTAAATTGATCTTACAGAAGCAATTTGTTACTTCTCATAAGGCTGGGAAGGGTTATAAGCCTGACAACGACAGTGACAGTGAGCAGTGCTCAGAGAAACCCACGAGCTACATCTCGTTGTTACATGTCGCATGTTACAGTGGTCCAGTCAAATTCCAGACCTCAGCCTGCGATGCTGTGGTAGGACCACCAGAGAGCTGTACATGAATTTTGCAATGTTGCACAGAAAAGTGTTTCAAAGTTCTGACCAATAAAATCATTCATCAAAAGATCCCTTCCAAATTTTGCTACTAAATGTGGATCTACAACCTGAATAATGGGTTGTACTTTTCACACACTGATTCTGGTTTAGACTTAGTTTTTCTGTTCGTCTCAGTTGCGATTTACCAAATCTGAAAACCTGGTAAAGTCTAAAAGTCTTATTTTTATTATGTACGAGTATAACCTCATATTTGAAAGAGTACGAATTATCTTTGTGCCATGACTGTAAATATTTTATATGAATATTAACTGCAACTCTGAAACCCCCACAGAGAATTACAGGCGGAGGGTGAGGTGATGACTTAAATGAGAGAAGAGAGAAAGGAGGAAAATCAGGAAAGACGCACGATTTCAGTTCATGGTTTACAAGCAGGTGGTGCAGTAACACCTGATCTGTCAGCCCAGGATGAGTAACGCAGGGCAGTTATTAAAAAACATCCAGGTTCTCCAGCATCGATGGGATGATGATAAGAATTAAGACTGTGAGGGTTGACAGCCAGTAGGTCATATTTAATGAATTATGT